TAATTTTTTTATTTTAGATTGTTCAAGACGTCTTATTCTATTTTTATTGGAATGTAGCAGGTTTTGTAGCAGTTTTTTTGTAAAAAAAAAAATCAGATTCAAAGACCTGGACTACAGATAAGGCAATGCTGCAGGAACTGAAGCGTGAGAAGACGATTCTATAGAGCATGGTGATAGAGTTGTGTGTCAAATATCCATAACGTTAAAAGGAGTCCAAATAGAAAAAAAGCCCACCTTGAAATCCATACTAATAACAACTTAGATCCATCTTATCTCTCAGTGCATTTTATGAGCTTCCCTGCGTTTTCAGATTGCATTTTAAACAAAACAGTGTCCCAGAATTTAAAGCATGCAAAAGAACGGTAAGACTATAGTCCATGTATTAGAGAAAACAAAGCAAAAATGTACCAGATTGCCTATGAAAGGCAAATATAGAGCAAAATAAAACAATCACCACTTGTAGGAAGAACTTATTTGTGCTAAATGTCTTATTTATTTTGTTTTAAGACAAATTCTCACAGATTTAAAAATTATGTAACTGTTTTCAGTAGCCATCACAGAATGAATGAAATACTCAATTATCCTAAACTATTTTAGAAAAAGAAAAATTTCTTTATACCTCAGTAGGTATCACAGAAGTACACTAACTGTAGATGGACGTTACAGAAGTATAATTTAAAAAAATAGAAGGGAACAGGACTGAAAGGACAGTTGAGACCAGATGGCTGGAGAAGAGCATAGATTGGTTTTTCAGCCTGTGCTGACCTGCCTCCTGAAAGTAGACCCATTGATCCCCAAAAGCAGCTTTCCTACTGTGGAGTTAATAGCCTAAATACAGCCAAAAAACTTCAAGGAGACTTTTTTTTTTTGCAGCACACACTCACTGAGCTCAGAACTAAACTCCCAAAGAAAAATTTCTACAATAATTTAGAAGGAAAAATTCTTTTGAATGTCCAGAACACAAATTCAGAGTACTTATTTTTCACCTTGTTTCATCTGATTCACAGAAAGGCAGCTGGCCATGATGGACAGCTTATGGTGTTACTCTGCTTTGCAATGTGGAAGATGAAGCAGGTTTAGCTGGATTGCAGGAGTGGTGCCAGCTACAGGAGACAGCATAATCAACCCTTGGCAAAACCTGCCTCATCACTCAGCTGAGCGCCTGCCAGCCAGAACCCCACTGCTTGAAGGATGGTAACGCTAATAAGAGAATTTCTCGAGGGGAAATTAAAATCCAGAAAAGAAAATAAGACGGTGATTTTTCTGGGGTTCATCACGATTACAAATGACTTTGCTCTTGATCCTCCAGGAAATGCAAAAATTTAAATAAACCTGGGATTTGTTTCATTTGGATGCTTTAAAGGATTCCTTTGAGTCTGTAAGACCTATAGTCCCTGAACAGACTTCTGCAGCTGCTGCACCTAATTTCATTTTGGCAAGGAAAGAGGCTGGGACATGTCTGTGTGGTGCAGTCTTGCTCTTCTTCCTCAAGCAGGAGCTAGCATCATGATTCAAAAAAATTTAAAAGTGCCTTTCATCACCTACATTTGTACAGATCGATTACAACTTCAAACAGAACGAATACAAGTGAAGAAAGCAGAGTGTTGTTTACAGGGTGACATCTGACTGGCAGGCAGGAATATAATTATGGATGACCAAAAAATGGAAAACAGAAATGCAAACTATTGATTTTATGAACTAATTTAGGGCCCTGTTCCTGATGTGTGATAACCCAAGGGGAGTTTTGTAGCATTGACACATCACTTAGGAGAGTGAAGGTTAAAGGGACTTATGTTCCCCCATTCTTGTTTTTCTGGTGATCAAAATGTATTTGAAAAGAACTGCTGTCTGAAATAGATATAGAATTGCAGGCTCTAATGTAAATTGGTAAACATATTGTCATAATAAAAATCAAAGCAAAGCAATCACCAGCAATTCAAAATTCCCAGCATTATCTTGGATATAGGGATCAAAGTATGAACTCTGTCAAGCTGTTTTAGCCTAGTGCAGCGTAAAAAGCAATTTAATATGGATCACAGAGAAGTCAGAAACCAAGACTCTGCTGATCCAGAGATCAGCAATCACTGTCAAGGCAGACAAAGCTGCTGTTTCATAGTTCCTGGCCTTTTCTGCATTAGACTGTCAACCAGAGCCTCCCTCACAAGCTATCTGGGACTCGAGTCTGGTTAGTAGGAATGATGGCCGAATCTTCCCTCTGCCCCCGTCAATCCATGACACCTAAGCTGAGTAAACACAGACAGGGTTCTCCAGTCAGTTCAGTAACAGACAGATAAATTGAGTGAGGCAAGATATATACATATAAAAAAATCTATTAAATATATCTAAACTCTGACAGATTAATAGCTTGCTGAGTTCCCACTGCCCAAGAACAAAAGAAAGATGCTGACAAGCAGAGCGCCCTGTACTCTTCCACAGACTCTCACACATTCACTGCCATTAGAGACCAATCACAGAAATTGTGCTAAAATGAGGGCTTTTTAAAAGAAAGCATAGGGTGACCTCGCTCCAAGTCTTAATTTTTAAGGTGGAAGGACTGATCAGTGAATAGATTTTCAAACTTTATTGACAAGGACAATTCACATCTTTCCCCCATCTGTTTACCTAGTAGCATCTGTAGATATTACTAGTTTTCAACTCCTTTAATATCCGTACCATAATGATAAAAAACAGTCACGAGTCCTTGATCTGGCTATTAGTGCAAAGGCAATTTCAGAATGTCAAAAAGCAGAGCCCACTTAGTGTTGGACTGTACAGATGTGGCCTAGGGAGGCCAGAAAGAGAAAATAGCTCATGAAGTGACTTTATATCACTCCAGATGCTAAGGAAAAGCTTCATCCATCCAGTTTGCATGCGCAACAGTAACTTCGGGAAACTGTTGTTAAAAATCTTCCTCAGCTTTTACCACTTCAAAAAATAAGAGCACATGAATCCCTCCTAGTTTCTAAATGCACAAGTTTTCTTCTGAACTTTTGGAAATTCTGGGCACAAACTCCTGGGAACCTATAAAATTTCTCAAGTAATCCATTCCTTTTTCCTGAAGGGCCTCTCTTAAAATACCTCTGATGATGCCAAGAATTGATGTTTCTTTCTCTGAACAGATGGCAGCCACAAAGGCAGTATTAATGCACAAATGAAGTAACTGTATCTAGTACCAAAGCTCAAATGGACTCACTGTAAAGCAGAACTAGATACGCTTTAGAGAAGTATTTTGTATCTTTCTGTGAATAGGTGATGTTAAGTCCTTTAACATCTAGATGGAAACCCAGATGTAGCACTTTTAAATACCATTCTCATGTTAATATAGTCTTTAAATTCAACACGTTGGATTTCTAATATTTTGTGGGTTTTAAATATACTTCAATAAAGATTTAATAGTTTATACCTTTGAATTAGCCCTAGTTTTGAGCAGAAATTTGATGACTAATTTATTTTCATCTAAGAACAGCTCATATTCAGATTTAAGCGAGCGTCTTCTTCAGTCTCCAAATTACTCGGAATAATTTGTGACCCACACATTACAGGGTAATAGGTTATTTGGGCTATTAAAGCTGTTCTGACTTTATTCTTAAACTGTACGAATTTTTGGCACAAATATACTAATGAGTTCATGAAACTGTGATGAAACCCAGAGGCAGTCTTTTTCAGTTTTATAAAAAAATGGCAGAATTAAGCTCAGAGTCTCTTCTGATCACAAGAAACATGAAACTGAAACCAAGACAAAATCTTTATAGTTTCATGGCCTTCTGAAACAACAGCATTATGACAGCCCATTCTATATAGTATTTCCACCTTCATCTGATATAGTGACTAGTGTTCCATAATACAGCTTTTTTTCTGCTATTACCTAAAATCAATGCAGTATACAACATGATACATACACTTGTATCATTGACAGAGATTAATTCAAATATTCTGTTGCAAACTGTCAAATGGTAAGCATTGTCCTTGCACAATTTAATGGTGTTGGCTATATATGGAGCTTTTCCTTTTTTTCATGCCTGTTAATCTCCACTGAAGCTTATGTTGCAATTGCCTTTTTCTTTTTTTCTGCCCTCATCAAAGCTCTGTTAAAGAAAGGATGTTACTTAAAATGAAGAGAAAGTAATGCTCATTCTAACACCAGGTACTGGTCCCCAAGTCTGCTAAAATAAGGACTTGCATAGATCAGAAACTAAGCAGCATTGTTAACATACTCCTACTTCTGATCTACAGTTTTGAATTCTTATCAAAAGTGCAGATATTTAGCATCAGATTGTTACGTTAGTTCTTTTGTTTGTTGGAGTTTTTTCCCCTTCTCCAATTGTAGTCTTTTCTTTTTTAGTGGAATGGACCAAAAAAATTGTAATCTGCCCAGCCGGAGCATGAACAGAATATTAGAGATATCTGTAATGATGCTATTATCATATATATATATGTCTAATAAAATTTCTTAGAGTTGATGACAAAGATCAGTTGATTATAGGTCAGTCTATTTTCTGATACTGTATTAAACATATCAACTGCTCTACAGGCTGAACCTCTAGTTATCGTAAGGTATTCCTGCAAAAATGCGTATGTCTTAAGTTTCTTTTTTTTTTCCTTGAAACAAGCTCTACTATTATTCCCTTTAGTATACAAAGTAAATAAAAATTTCAGCATTTCTTGCTTGTACTAAGAGTTCAATACAGGAAGTGGTATTCATCTAGATAATGAAGCTTTTTCTGCTTTAGAAATTCAGATTTCTGCCTTTTACTGACTTGAATGAGGAACAATCCTTTACAACTGCACAAAGCAAAACCGTACTGTTCATTTTTGTCAATCACTGCAAATACAACTCTAGAATTTCACCAAAAATCTTTCAAGTATGTTAGATATTTAGTTTAAGATATTCGATATTTAGTGTAAGATCCCTCTATTAATAAAGAGCAGTGGTCTCCAAGCTGCAACAGCTGCATGAATGACTGCAACCAACACAGGGGAAAAAAAAAAAATTGTCATACCGGTGAACTCCACTGTTGCACATAATGATGTGACAAGCTCCAAGCCTGCTACAGAGTTCGGATGACACGGAAAGCAATCCCACTCCAGAAGCACTGCACGCAGTGTATGCACAGGCAGCGGTGCGCTTGGAACGGATGAAGGACCCTATGAGTCGGTAAAGTTCATCCAAGCAATTGAGAGGCCTCATCAGCTGCAAGAAAGGAAGTGAGAATTATATAAATATTTGCTACCGAGAACACAGGAAATACTCTAAAAGAATAGGTCATCACAGGAGGAATACCTGATCCAGTTGAGAAAGCCAAAGCCAAATTCCATGATATAAATACACAGAGTTTTCTGGTACATGACCTGAGACAACTTCTAAAAACTTTTCAATTCTTACCATCACTGATTGTTTCATTCCAGGTCTGCCTATGGAAGTGTTCTTCACTTCAACAGACTGAATAGACCCATGAGGGCTATATCCACTAAAGGACTGGCAAAGAAGGGAAGCCATGAAGAGGCAACCCACAACCACACACAGATATAGGAAGAATACTGACTGGTTAGTTGACCTGCTGAGAAAATCAGCTTATAATTATGACAACACTGTCCTTTATTTATCAAATATCTAATTCCTAATTCTGACTATCAACATCAAAAAATAAAAATGAACACAAGTCAAAAACATACCACAAAGCAAGAACAGTTAACTTTGTAGCAGGACTTAAAATGACTCCAGGATTACTGTACTAAAAATTAATGATCCACCTAATAAAGAAGGCAACTTCAAGTGCAAGGCTGCTGTCAGAAGAGGATCCTTCAAGAGTGGTCTAGCAATGAAAACAGTATTTCATGGTGCTTTATGTACACAAGTTGTTCACAATAACATTTTGCAGACCTCATAATTCCAAATTCCCACTTCCCTTTATTCCAGAAACACCTAGATTCCAACAAACCCCTGTGCTACTCAAAGAATTAGTCTTTTGAAAGACAGATTCATTCCCTTAAGACAGTTTTAACAGTCAAGGAAATGGCACCCTCACTTGTTCCTATATGATAGTTACTTTGTTGGAAAGCACAGAGGTCAAGTAAATCAACTATAACAAATTGCATATTTAAACTGGGTACAAATAGATTTAACTTGGTTTAGGTCCTACTGGTTTAACTTGCATCCATTTAAATTGATTTTAGATGGTGTCATTTATTAATGCAAAGCTATGGACAATAGTGAAAAGTGCAGCCAAAAATGAATCATGCACTCACTCTTGGCTTGCTCCAATTGCAAAATAAATTCATTAGCCTAACATAGCATCCCTTGGTCAGATCTGGATTTGTGAGATGCTTTTCTCTTGCCCTTGAACTTTTCACTGAAATAGATAGAGAACAGGTTTAGGGGTAACAAGCATTTCACACACAGCTGAACATCCCCTGCTGCCCCTGCGACTGCATGGCAAGTTAAGTTGCTCAGTCCCCAGGGAAGGAGAGGCAAATGTCTTTCCCTCCTGTGCAGTCCTGCATGGATCCAAGAAACAGGAACTATCAGTCTGTTAACAGCAATGCTGGATGACACTGACATAACATTTTAGTCTGTCATAGGGCTCAGCTGATGATCACTATTATTTCTCAAGCCACAATAGCTCAATCATTTTTGAAGTCAGCATAGGCAAGACCCTAGGAATTTCTTTATATCCCCTGTTTGGCTGCAGTACAGGCATTAACTCTCCAACAGCAGGAGAGAGCACTAAACGAATTTTCATAGCCCCTGGGATCTCTGAGCCACAGAAGTTTAAAGACAGATGAAAGCATTTGAAGAAAGCCTAAATGAGAAAATTCAGAAGAAAGCCTTCTGAGCAGGATGCTGAATGAGTATTTAATTTGGAAAAGCGCTTCCAGCATTCAGAACAAAGAATTTCTGCCTGCACCTCTCTTTCCCCATCCCACCCCACATGCTCTTAGAGCAGTTACATTGCTCTGAAAGCACAGTGAAAAAGGAAAGTTATGATTCCTCTTCTCAAACACATAGACGCCCTCCTGCCACACCTTTTGATACAGAACCAGAGGGCACCACCTACCTCTAAAACACTGCTGGGACAAAATGCTGTAAGAGAACTCCTCCCTTCCCTGCTTCTCTCCCCATGGCTTTAAATAATTCCATTTTTTGATTGAATTAAGAAAGCCTGGACAACACAGTGTGTAACACAGAAAGTTTAATTAGGCACTTAATATTTTTATTTACCTTATCTATATAAGCTGCTTTAGATGTTGAATTTGGGGGCAAGTTTGACTTGTCCAGGTAGAATGCCCTGAAAGAAAAAATAGACAGAGTAAGGCAAAAACTGTTTAACTCTTTAAGCTCCTGAACAAAATGTACATAAGTGACCAGTGTTAGACACCATCCTAAGGCTGGAATTTTTTTTACCTTATGCTAAGAGAGGGTCAAGGAGTAATACAATACTAAACAGGCACTATCACTCTTCAAGTAATAAGGAACATTTTTTGTTCTGGAGACAAAAACTGTCCCTCTCCTCTTTGACAGTACAGTGCAAAATTTTTATGTTTAGCTACCAGAGAAAAATGGATCTGAAAGAGATTTTCACCAAAACAATCCATGAAAAAGTTGTGGCAACTGTATAGATTTTAATAGTGACTTTGGGAAACTTGGCATATAAACAAGTGCCTGAGCCTTACACTCTACAAGCTTTTTTATATTCACTCTCTGTAACTGCAATAACGTAATAGCAGAATCCCAAACATGAAACACAGCACTGACAGAGGAAACATATATATGTTCACAATGTAAAAAGAAACAAAAAAGCAAAAACCCTACGAGGGACAAATATGCATCATACAAGCAAAATGGTATTTGCAATGCATGTACTCATACATGTGTGTGCAAATGAAAACCCAAATGCCTTTCTTTACAATTTCCACACATTCCTTTGAAAATTAACTAATGCATGAAAGGAAAAGGCAAAGAAAACTGTCATTTCCCTGCAGAACACAACTGTGATAGACAAAGCATACTTACTTTATCAGGTTTATCCACTGTGTATCAACCCATATTCTCCCAGTTCCTTTTACAACCTTTCCCTTATCAATGAATAGTCCCAGAAGAAGTTTATATAAAATCTAAAAATGCATCATGTGCTGTTTTTAAATACAAAGTTGACTAATTTCTGTGTGACACAAAGGAGGTTGACATTTTGTACAGAGGGTTTTCACACTATCCCCTCCTAAAACAAAGATCCCTTCCTCTTACTTTTTAGCAAAGAGCACACAGGAAGCATAGAGCTCTCCTCTTGTCTCCTCCAACGCAGGAGACCTAGAAGAATTTTTGTCTTAACTTTCCAGCTTATAAGCAACTTAACTGCTCATCACAGAGAAGCTATCATTACACATCTCACAGAGAGAGGAAATATCCTACTTATCTCTGACAAGATCACAGGGGATTTTGCCTCTGCAGCAACACTTAAAAAAACCCGTCCCTGCCGATAGCAGTGGAGTTGGACCAGATGAACTTTAAAGGTCCCTTCCAACCCAAACCATTCTGTGATTCTCTGATCACAAAACTCATTCCGCTAGTTGTAAAGCTCCTAAAACCTCCTGTGGCAGCTGAAAATAGAAACATTTGGTGGGCCTCCCTGCCTGGACAAGGCATCCAGTGAGAACCAGGCAACAGCTACCACTGCAGTTAATTCTGGGCAAGGTTTAAATAAAACAAGACAAGCCCCACTGAACTATGGAAGGTATAGAGAAAAAAGAAAGATATTCTCCAGTGACAATCTCAAGGTATCACTGTGATGTAGCTCCACTGCCTGTGCACGAGGAACAGACCTGACTATATCACAGAACCACAGAACATGCTGAGCTGGAAGGCACTCACAAGGATCATGGAGTCCAGCTCTTAGCCCTTCATAGAGGGCTATGAGCTGTCATCATCCCCAAGAGTCACACCATGTACCCAAGCATACTTTCTCAACACTTCTTCCACTCTGTCAGGTTTGGTGCTGTGACCACCTCCCTCGGGAGCCTGTTCTAGCACCCAGCCACACTCTGGGTAAACCTCCCCTGACACAACTTCAGGACATTCTCTTGAGTCTTGTCACACAGAAGAGATCAGTGCCTGCCCCTCCTCTTCCCTTCACACGAGGAATTTGGAGACTGTGATGAGGTCCCCCCTCAGTCTCCCTTTCTCCAGGCTGAAGAGACCAAGTGATCTCAGCTGCTCCCCCTACACCTTCCCCTCAAACCCCTTCACCATCTTTGCTGCCTTTTGGGCAGGGATGCACACTGCAGATTTGAATATCTTTTATTCTTCAGTAATCTGGAATAATTGAGTTGACAAAATAATCCATCCACCTTTAATTCTAGTAGAATTTTCTTCCTATAGCCTTATATTTGAAAAACATCTTCTCCCAAATTTAAGGTTTGAATTAATCCCTCCAGGAAGCACAGCAAAGCTAATCTAGTTCTGTTATTCCATTAAGCCTGTTGCATGATCCAGAATGTACTCTGTGTCAAAAGAAGCTGGAGATCACTGAAAGGAAAAGAGGTTTGTAGAGAAAATTACTCATAAATCATTTTGAGGGGCCACAGCACACAAAAGCTACCTCAGCAGCATCGGACCAACCTTTTTCCTTGTTAGCAAAGCTAGAAAACAAAGCATTACCCGGCTCTCCACTGAACATAATCACACTGAAAGCCTACACTGCTCTTTCCTGCCATGTGATAAGAAAACCTGCTTCATTTGGAGTCTGTGCAGCACTCTCATTCTCTTTGGACTGTTCTTTCAGCAAATTCAGCTGCATTAAATGACACCAGAAACCAAAAATAGAACAGTACACACATTAATGGAGTACATAGAAAATAATTAACTCGGGGTACAAAATGAAGCAACATGGACATTAGAATGGGATATACAATTATAGGAATTACTCCATTAATTCAGTCAATTATTCATTAACCTAAACAACAAACAAATAATCAACTATACAGAGCATGCATTTAAAAATATCAAAGTATCCTGTTACAAGTAAAACTATTACCCCCTCCCCAATCAGATAACACTCCCAGATGTTTCTCGAGTGCTTTATTTTTATTGCTTTTCATAAAAACTGTCTTCAGTATTTTACAGAACATGACAAACTGTGGACAGCATATAAATTTCCAAAGCACTTCACTTAATTACTAAATGCTTGTACAGGTCCTTAATCATATTTTATGGGAAAAGTTAATGGCAATCTTGGTACACTGCCCAATTTAGACAATATTTTCTAATCCATTTAAAATGAACCAGAATGAAATCATAGTTCTTTGTCTTCAAATGTGACGCTAGTTCTGCTTTTAAAGCCTTACAATTTCTCTAAAATGTAGCAGAAAAGCTTTTTTTTTTTTTTTTTTTTAATTTTAAAAAAGGTAGATAATCCAATACTAAATCTACAAAGGAGTATTGCTGTGTTTGAGTTTTGTAGGATACCCCCTATGTAACAATGCCAAATAATGGGACAAGTATCTCAGGGAAAACCAAGACTGGGATAAGGTAACAAACATCTTAGGGTTCAAGAAGAAAAATCTATCACAAGATGAATGCTTTCCTGAGATGTTTTCCAAAACTTATGTACAAAGGAGATGCAGCAGTACTGATGTTTTCTAAGTGAAGCATTTTACAGGGTACCCTCCAAAACTGCCACAGACATGTAAAATCCTGAAAATTTAAAATATTGCAAACAGAACCCTAAGGAGGCTCCAGACCTGCAGAGAGACGCATTCCTGAGTAACTTTGTACATGCAAATAATTCAAGCAAATCCAAGTTTACAGTCTTATTCTCAATTTCCTGTTTCAGTAAGCACATAGGGTTATCTTAAGCACTGGCAATCTTGTCTTGAAAATACAAGGATAGTAAAGAAGTGATAGAAGAGGGGGAAGTAACTGGGTTATGGCATTTAAAAAAGGCCAGTTGGGGGTTCGACTCTAGAAAGCTTTTACTTTGATTTTATAGAGGAGAAGAATTCAGTCTTTTACATTTTCTGCATCATTGTGGCACACAAATAAATTAACTCATAATCTCTTCAACAGAAGAATACGCCTTAATTCTACTGGATTTTCAATCCCTCAGTCACAAGATATTCAAGATCATTTACAAAACCATAGTCAAGAACCTAAGAAACGAACAGAGTCAGGAAGTGTTGGACTTAGTGTCCCCAATTCTTTTCTTCAGCTCAATCTAAAAAGCATGTACTTATGACACAGATAAACAGTATCTCTGTGTATTTGCATCTATGTGCACACATGCCTTTGTATTTATTTAATAACAGTTTTCTTGCAAGACTGCAGCATCTCACTGAACTACTCGTCTCCCACAGATTTAAACTCTCTCCCGTCTATGAATAAGGCATGTTGAGAAACTGGCATTAGGATGATTACAAATATCTGAGGTGCAAACTGAGAAGGACACTGGCAAAGGAACAGACTTTCTGTCCTAGCAGACACTTCACAGCCCTGCTCTCAAACCTTTATAAGCACAGGGGATCTCAGAAATGTGAGCATAGAAATGTGAAGACAGAAAGTTATGGATGACAAAAGAAAAGGAAAAAAAATTCCAAATCCAATTTGCTCTATGTACCACTGCCCACTCTTCACATACTGCCTCTTTTCACCCCTATTTTCCAGGAAATCGAGTCTCCAGCATCTCTACCTACATCCAAAAGCACTTGAAACCATCCTTTTCCTGATGTGAAAGGGAAGTTCTTGCACCACAGACCAATTACAGCTGCCTTCCTGCTTATCCTAACGTTATCCAAACAGACAAATCCACACTGAACAAAATAATGCTAACTAATTGTTTCCATATTTGCCTTTCAGACAGTGAATGTATCCTTTTTAGCTTCTGATATTCCAGACATGGAACACACTGCTAAAAAAGACAATGTGCCAAATAGTCATTGGGTTATCAGGATTTCAACTACATCTACAAACTGTACAATCTACAGGCTTGGGCTGGACTCCTATCTGTGACCAGAGGGAAAGAAAAGGCTCCACCCTTGATCACTGCAGATATATGTTCTCTGCATTTGAAGAGGATAAAGAAAGCAGGATGACCACCTCAGTCAGCAAAGACTCAGTACACATAATCTATCAAGACACATAATTTTCAATCTCAGAACACCACCTATAAAAAATACTGATCACACTGTATCAAAAGTCTAAACAAAAAATGAATTTACATTCACAGAATGAGTACGGCACCGAAAGGGGGAAACCCCCCCCGAAGTGAAATTCAAGCCAGCTGGCAGTATCTTTTAG